GATTCCTCCCTCTCTCGCTGTGGTACGCTTCAGACAGAGCTTCTAGGTGCAATGGTCCCCAAGCTTTCCAGGTCCTCTAAGGGTGGATGCCAGTGCCACCCCTTGTCTGTGGCTGGCTCATCCTGAGGTGGCAGTCAGAACAAAGGGCTCACCCTTGGCACTGTTGTGGGTCCCCTCCTCCCTGTCCACTTCTCCTGTGCAAATCACATCCCTCCAAACTGCCGAATGTACTGTTGGAAACAGGACCCACCCCTCACATTACACACATTGAATTTCTCAGGGTTAGAAGCCAGGACTGCTCCCTTTGCAGAGTCTTGAGCTAAATGTTCACTTTTAAAGTGTTTGTGATTATATGGGGGGGGGGAACGCATGTAACAGAATAGAAACAGTAAGTTTACATGAGTGTGTGTGTGTGTGTGTATATATACTTACATAGTTACATAGTTCTCTCCAAGTGGTAGATTAAAGATGGATATTATTCTCCAGATGTTTTTTATTCTTCCATGAGATTTACAAAAGATCTCTACAGTGATGTGTCACTTTTGTAATCAGGAAATCGATTTTTTTAAATAAACAATTTTTTAGTGATCAGTCTCCTAGCATCGAGCTCCCTGGTCCCCTCAGCACCTTGGGTTGAGTCAGACAGGTGCGAGTGTGGAGAACCAGGAGCATCAATCCTGGCCCTGCCTCTGACTTGCAGAGAGCAAAACCAGCATGCGTTAGCTGCCATCGCTGTGACCGTGCCATGGGGTTTCCTCCTCACCTGGGCTCTTTGGCTTCTTAGTGAGCTGTGTGAAGGATAGAAATGGTTTCTATTGGCGGATGCTTCTGCGTTGTCTTTGGGAGACTGTGAAGGGTGTCATCCACTATAGCACATGAACGCTCCTTCAGAAGCAGCTGCAGGACAGAAGTTGCTCTCTGGGCATAGACTCGGGTACAGCTGAGCCTGTCCTACACGTGCAAAATGGGTGCATTTCTGTGTAATGAACTGTGTGCACCCTTGTTTAGACTGCTAGGGGGCAGAGGGTTAGATTCACTCCTCAGCTTCATCACATATGCATGACTTTCTTCGTGTATATGCTTGTCTTCGTGTATAACTTGATACCGGACTTCTTTGTTCTTTCCAACCCCTACCTTTATGTTCCTTTGCCCAGATCTCTCCATCCCTTTCTTACTGCCTATTTGTCTGTTTCTTTCTCTCTCTCTCCCCCTCCCCCTTCTCTGCCTCTCTCTCCATCTCTCTCTTGCTCCCTCTGTGTGTGTCTGTGCCTCTCCCTCCTTCCTTCCCTTCTTTCCTTCCTGTCTGTGTGTCTCTTCCTTCCCTCCCCACCCATCTTCTTCTCCCCCTCTCACAAAAACACACATACTCACATCTTCCCCCATTTGCATACTCTTTTTATAGTACCCATTTTTATAAAGCTTCCTCAAATCATTTATAAGAAGAGGCAAAATACTCATAAATACATGAGACGGTGACCTTGAGTCTACTCCGTCCAAAAGACAGAATCAGAGTTTTTCTTTCAGTGTATTTCTGTTGACCTGACACTTGACCACAAAAGAACCTCAGCCACCAAAAAGAAATTTCAGGCTTTCGTATCATGCAGGAGTTTGAAGAGCTGGAAGGTGATCCGCTCCAAAACGGATCGCTTTCGGGCTTCTGTCGTTTTACATCTCTAAGAGGCCTTTGGTCCCTACCCTTTGTTTCCTATATAACACAAGCTTGTATTGCAAACATTAGCGAGTTGTCTGGAGGGCCAATGGTACTGTATATGAAATCTAGCTCAGTAAACCTGACTTTTAAAAAAATCACCTAGAAAGCATGTCACCCAGTTTCCTGGGCTCCACCCCAAAGGTCCTAATTCAGTAGGTCTGATGTGGGGCCCATGATTTTGGCTTCCTAACAAGCTTCCAAGGATGTGAAGCTGAATGTATGGAGGGCGGGGAAGATTATATACTATAGTGATCTTATCACATGTGGGCATTCAATCGCATCTTGGATTATCAGTGATGGTAATAAACACTAACAGCTGAGTATATAGCAGGCGGTTTGTTGAGTACAGTACTGATCAAACTTTGCCTCATTCAGCCTTAGAACCACCCATGAGGCAGGTTGACTCCCCGTCTTGCAGAGGCCGAAGCAGGCCAGAAAAGCTCAAGTACTTCCTCCAGGTGGCAGAGGCAGGATTCAAACCCGTGTCTCTCTGCCTCCAAAGCCCATGCTCATAACCACTAAGTGCTCTCTTGCCTTTCTGCATCAAGGACTCCACTGTATTTTTACCCTCTGCTTTTTCCACTGGGAATATGAGATTTCCATAATTATGATACTTCTAGAAGCAATTCATAAATAGAGGCAGTAAGTTTAATATTCAGTGTTGGTCTAAAACCCCATGATATGAAATGGCCCGCCTTTTCTCAAACAGGAAGAGCTCCAAGAAAATTGTTTCCCCCCCCCAGAAAGTGGGAGAGACCCCCACTCCCCAAATACCCGAAATACAAACATAAGAGGACTTTTGGGAAGAAGTAATGGAAACTCCATCTGTGGCGCCATCTTGAAATAGCTACCTACTGTGTCTCAAGTCTTATTTGGACAAAACAATGCTACTGGAGTCTAATTCAATAAATCCAAAGTGATGCCCTTTGGGCTGGTTAGCAAGTCTGTTCATGTGTTGTTGCTTACAGTTCTCCCAGCTGGCTGTTTTTACTCCTGTCTGAAAGCCAAGGAGAAAAAACTCAGATTTGGTGACGCCCTCAGCTCTTGAGTTACAGCTGTTGGGGCTGTGAGTAGGACCCGTTGCTGCCCCCCCCAAGCCCCCCCTCCACCCACACTGTTCTCTTTCCCTCCCCTCACAGCTTTCCCAGTACTGCCTGTGTTGCTCCAGGTGGACTTCTAGGCCTAAGTCATCTTCATGACATGATCATGCCATGCCCCACCACCCCAGAGAAACCCTGCTGCCATTTCCACGTATATCTTTCCCAGACTTCTTCATATCTACATTTCTATGTGTTCATTTAAGTAGCATCATACCATCCAGACCATCTTGAAAATGCACCTATTTCACGTACAATAATATGTCATGAACGTCTTCCTGCAGCACTGACTGTTCCTCTTCAGCATCAGTTTCATGGTTGTCTAGTACTCTCTCACACCTCTCTTCTGGTTTCCAGCATTTAAAACAGATTTTTATGAAGGCCATCTTTAAAAAATGGTCACTGTCAGTTTGCAAAAGCAAAATTAGGTTGCTTTGGGGTAGACGCTTTAAATAGTCAAATTGCTCTGGCATCGCTGACTCACGCAGAATCTTTTAGAGAGATTGTCTTGTTTTCTACAAAGGTAAATAAATAAACAAAGCCCTGCTGGAGAGCACCCAATGCAGGAGTCTCTGGTGGAAAGTGAATGAGATCTGTGGAGGGGCTGCCGGCGGGAACCAGACATCCCAGCCATCAGGGCTCTGCCCCTCCTGACCTGTGGGGGGCTGGCAGGCATGTCTTCCGGTGCTGTAGACCTGAGCCAAATGTCTTTTCTCTCTCCAGCAGACCCACCCGTGGCTGCAGCTGTGGTGTCCTATTTTAATGACTGCCCGGATTCCCACAGTCAGTTTTGCTTCCATGGAACCTGCAGGTTTTTGGTGCAGGAGGACAAGCCAGCATGTGTGTAAGTGTCCCCTCGTGTCCTGGGGTTTGGGGTGGCCCAGAAACCAATTAAAAGAGCATTTACCTCCACAAGGCATGCCAGCAACCCCTGAAGCCCCTGGAGCCTGGCATGTTGGAGGATCAGAACAGCAGGCTGAGGGACACCTGCTTCAAACCGAGCTGGTGAAAACTCCAGGTTCCAGGGCCCCAGCCCAGAGCCACTAAGGCAGAACTCTTGGGGGCTGGAGCCTGGGGATCTGCATTTTTTAACAAACATCTCAGGTGACTCCTGGGTTCAGCAAAGTCTGAAAATTCCTGGATTCAAGCTTTATTCACTACTTAGAAATTCTGTAGGACAAGCCACTGCGTTGGATCTTTAGGGTCGCCAGAGTCTCTGAGATGAAGTCTCTGCCCTGTAGCATCTTACATGCAGCAAATAAAATAAGCTGGAAGTGTATGCAAAGAGTTAGTGTGCATAAGTGACAACAGAACGAGGAACAGGCTAGAAACAAACATGCATGCCAGGGCACGGTGGTCTATACCAGGCCGAGCACAAGCCCCCTACGGTTTCTTCTTAAAGTATAGCTGAGCCCCACCCAGACCTCCTGAATCAGAATCTGCAGGAATGGGACCCAGAAGTCACATTAGCTACGAGCCAACAGCCATGGTCAGCCAGACTGAGGAAGAAAGGCCCTTGAGGAGCGCTTCTGGGAGCAGGTGTTGGGGTGTGGCTGGTGGGGAGAGCAGAGAGGTTACTCTAGGCTTGGAATGTCAGGGACCTGCTGTTACAGGTCAGTGCAGCTACAGCAGGGAGGAGATGAGATCGGAGACAAGGGGGAGGCCAGAGCCTGTTGGAAGGGAGCCATTGGTCTATACGCAGTGGGAGCCATGTCGGTTCTGGAAAGGGATGTTCTAAGAAAATTAGTCTGCGCATAGTAGAAAACTATTAGGTGGCTTATACTCAACATTGGCACTATTGACATTTGGGGCTGGATAGCCCTTTGTTGTTGGGGCCATCCTATGCATTAAAGGATGTTAACGGCACCCCTGACCTCTACCCATAGATGCCAGTAGCACTACCACCCCACAGTCATGATGATCAAAAATGTATCCAGACATTGCCAACCCTGCCTCCATTGGGAACCACCCATCCATGTGAAGTTGCCATTTTATCAGTCAAAGATGGTTGAAAGTCAGCAATTTTGTGTGGTACAACCTAATAGTACCTGTATAATCTGAATGTCAATACAAGCTAGTATTTATTGAGCTTTGGTTTCATGCTAGTCACTGTTCAAAGCATGATCCGTGTAATAATGCATGTACTCCCCATAATGACCCCATGAGGTAGGCACAGAGAAGCTGTGCCCAGGTTGCAGAGCAGCGTTTACATTCAAACCCAGACTGGCTCCTGAATGAGTCCTTAACCATGATGCTTAAGAATATCAAATGCATTAGCCCAGATGAGATTGGGGACCAAGAGAGCCTGCAGCACTAAGCAGTGGTAAGCAGAGCTTTCTTCTTCCTGAGGTGTGGCTGTATGAGCCTGAGCAGGCCCCTTAGGGCGCCTCTGAGCCTCACCTGGAGAGGCTCACTGGTCAGCTTCCTCCTGGGAGAAGAACTGTGTGAAGCTCCCAGGTTCTGTCTGCAGAGCTAAGGGCCCTCCCCACCTGGTAAATACAAAGCACAATGATGATAATAGTCACAGTCATTAGTCATGATCATCATTCTTATTAAAATATACGTAGGGGCCCCTGGGGGACTGTTGGGTTGTTTTTGTTAGTAGCCCTGTGTTGTCAAAAAACACTGGCCCTGAAGGAAGTGTTGCCTCCCAGCCCAGATATGAGGATAGCTCCCCGTAGAACAGGCAGAAGGCATTCTCCCCGCCAGCAGTTCCCAGTGCCCAGACCTCCCGCAGCTGCCCCTGGCTATGCCTTGGGAGGATCCTCTTTGGAGAGAGAGAGCAAATCTTTGCCGAGTTCTGATGAATGATGTCCAAAGCTCAGATTTTTCTCTTCAGGTGCCTTCCCCACCAGATCAGGGGCTGGTGTAAACTTTCTGGGTGTTGGCAGCCTCTGGCCTGAGTCAGTAGATGAGCCAAAGCAATAACCTTATCTGTGGTCGAGACCCCCATCGCTGGTGGAAGCCTCCTCTCGTTCTCAGTCCCTGCTCTTGGCTCAGGGAGATACTCGTCCATCACATTTACACACCATTACATTTTGATAATCAGGATGACTGGTGCTCTCGCCTCCATTCACATTATAAATACTACTGTTAATAATAATCTCTCAATAAAAGCTGTAGTTATGAGTCAGGCACAGCCCCTAGTCCTCCACATACAGTGGCTCATGGAGTCCTCACAGCTCCTCTCTAAAGTGGGGATTCTTGCCTTTCTTGTATAAATGAGAAAACCCAGCCGGCTGAGAGAAGTTAAGCAACTTGTCCAGAGTCCCAGAGCTAGTCAGCGGCAAAGCTGGGATTCAGTCCAATCAATTTCAGCTCCTGCCCCAGAGGGCACGCTGCCTCAGCCTCACCAAGTTCACCTCAAATCAGTAAGCTCTTGGGTTTCTAGGAAAGATCTTGGCACCTTCCCCCTGCAGGTCAACCTTCCTCCAGAGAATGGTCAGGGCAGTGAGCTTGGGAATGACCCTGACCTCAGACTCTTAAGGAGTCCTTCCTGTGGGCCCAGTATGGGATATACAGAAGCAGTCAAGACAGTTTTGCAGTTTGGAAAAGCTGACCTTCTGTGGGAAGGCAATGCCATGCAAGTAATTACCACCTCTCTACCTCAGTGTCCCCACTGGATCTTGGTGGCATTCAGCCCATAAAGATGTTTTTCTGTGGTGGTAAACGACAATCCACATTGGTTTTAATTAGTTGTCAGCATTTAGGGAGTCAGGTTTCACATCTCCATGCAGAGGCCCAGATGCTCTTGAACACAGGGCTTGCCCTCTCCAGTTCCTCAGCCTCCATCTTTCCCCATTGCTCCCTGACACTGAAGCAAATATTGGTCCCTGGTCATCCCGCTGCCACCTCTGTTCTGCTTGCACAAGCCCACTGTGCTCACTTCTGCCGCTACATGAGCTTATAAACTCAGTGAGGACAGGACCGCGCCTCATACCTGTTGAATTTACAGTCCCTAAAAGAATGTTCCAATTAATTAATTCCCACTAGACCAGAAAGTTAGTGCAGAGAAAACCGAACATTCTGTCCCTGCTTGTAAGACCCGCCCCAGCTTTGGGGAGCTGACACATACATTCTGGTCCATAAAACTGACAGGCCTTGAGGTAAGGCCTTGTCTTGTCTGTCATGACCTCATAAAGAAACCCAAGTGACCCAAGATTATAGTCTCAAAAAAGGGAGCTCTTTCTACAGTACTGTCATCCGTAAGTCTTTTTTTTTCCCCCATAAGAACAATAGTCTTGAGGTTTCCAGAGAAACTAAAATGACATCTCACACTAAAATATGAGGTCAAGAAAAAAAAGTTAAAACAAATAACTAGTCAGAGGTAGCCAAAGGTAGCAAAAACCATCCTTAAACATTTATGCCTCAGATGAACACTAGATTGTATTCTATGTCTCCCTTTAATAAAGCCCCGCTAGTACCTACGTACACCAGGAAACAAATGGGAAAAGAATTTCCAAAGACAGTAAAGCCATAGAAATGCAAGCTTAGGACTCCGCACACCATTTTTTCCCTGAGGCAGATTCCACACTGTTGGTCAGCTGCCTGCAGAAGTCTTCAAACAAAGGAAAACAGTTGAAGGAAGCCACCCAGGCAACAAGTTTTAAGGGTTCCCGTGTTGGCAGCCAGTGGCAACTGGTTTGAAGTTTCTCACCTGTCCAAAATGCTCCTCAGGGACTGAACTCCCTGACTTAACTTTCCCACAGCAAAGTGTGAAAACAAATTGCTATCAGCCAAGAAAAACATTCCACATGGCCCTGGCCACAGTACATTCCAGTGGGATCTAAGCAGAGTCAAACACCCAGAGAGGAGTGACCGCTGCCGGTGTGCCAGCCGGCTGCCTGCGTGACCAGGAACACACCTCCCGAGAGATCAGGATTGAGAGGTTTTCTTGTTGGTGCTTGAGCTACTTTATGTAGATCTCCTCTCGCTTCAACAACCAGCAGGTGAGGGGGGGGGGGCCCTGGATTAAGAAGTTATGATGTCTCTACCATCCACATGTCCTCATTCTCTCTATATCCCCACCAGAAGCAGATACTGAGCATCACACATCATCAGGCAGGATAATGCAGCAGTTAAAGGCACAGATTTGGAAGTCAGACAGACCCGAGTCTCTTCTACAAGTGACTTAGCCCTATTAAGCCTCGATTTCTTTGTGTCTAAAACAGGGAAACTAGTATTTCATAGGAGTGTATTGAGGACCCTGTGCCCATAATGCACATAGAGCTGTTGCTATTCAAGACGAGAGACACTAGATAAGCAGGGCTATTTAAATTAATTCATTTATTAATTAAAATTTAGTTTTTCCATCTCACTAGCCACATCTCGAGTACTCAATACTTTTAAATGGCTAGTGGCTACTCTATTAGACAGCATAAATATGGACGATTTCCATCATCACAGAAAGTTCTATCAGACGGCACTGGAGAACAGTAAAGCCCAGTTCCCAGAGAGCGTAAGAGCAGTTGTCGTCAGCACCATCCCCACTGTGATCAGCTCATTGTTACTGTCACCATGGCTGAAGGACAAGTAGGGTTCTGCTGAAAGGAGCAGTGGAAGTCTGGCAGGCCATGGAACCCAGAGCTGTCCCATGAGGTTCTTGGATGAGAGCTGCAAAGGAAGCCCTTAATCCATCCAGCCCACTCCTCCGCAAGCCCCAGGAGCAGAGAGGCTATAGGACTTGGTGAATCCAGTTAAGAGGCCAAAAATAGGAAAGGCCAATAAAGGTGTCCTTGGGCTCAGGGCCCCCACTCCCAGCCCAGCCCTGTGGATTTTCTCAATAGTAAAGGCAAGTTGGTGTAAATATATTTCTAAAACCAAGGTCCTTGGCCCTGTGTCAAC